TCAAAATGTTGAAAATAGAACTACCCTATGACCCAGCAATTGCACTGCTGGGTATTTACCCTAAAGATACAAACGTAGTGATCCGAAGGGGCACGTGCACCCGAATGTTTATAGCAGCAATGTCTACAATAGCCAAACTATGGAAAGAACCTAGATGTCCATCAACAGACGAATGGATAAAGAAGATGTGGTATATATACACAATGGAATACTATGCAGCCATCAAAAGAAATGAAATCTTGCCATTTGCGACAACGTGGATGGAACTAGAGGGTATCATGCTTAGCGAAATAAGTCAATCGGAGAAAGACAACTATCATATGATCTCCCTGATATGAGGGAGAGGAGATGCAACCTGGGGGTTAAGGGGGTAGGAGAAGAGTAAATGAAGCAAGATGGGATTGGGAGGGAGATAAACCATAAGTGACTCTTAATCTCACAAAACAAACTGAGGGTTGCTGGGGGGAGGGGGGTTGGGAGAGGGGGGGTGGGGTTATTATGGACACTGGGGAGGGTATGTGCTACGGTGAGTGCTGTGAAGTGTGTAAACCTGGCGATTCACAGACCTGTACCCCTGGGGAAAAAATATGTTTATAAAAAATAAAATTTAAAAAAATGACAGAAATTTTAAAAAAAAAGAGCATTCATCATGATCGAGTAAAATTTATTCCTGGGATGCATTGGGGGTTCGATATTTGCAAATCAATCAATGTAATACATCACATCAATAAGAGAAAGGATAAAAACCAGAGGATCATTTCAGTATATCCAAAAAAGGTGTCTGACAAAGCACAACATTCATTCATGTAAAAACAAAGTAGATTTAGAGGGAATGTAACTCAACATAATAAAGGACTTATATGAAGAACCCACGGCTAACATCATACTCAGTTGGGAAGAACTGAAATTTTTTCTCCCTACAGTCAGGAGTAAGACAAAGATATCCACTCTCACCACTGTTATTTAACACAGTACTGGAACCCTCGCCACAGCCATCAGGCAGGAGAGAGGAATAAAAGGCATCCAAATTGGTAAGGAGGAAGGGAAACTTTTGCTATTTGCAGATGACAGGATACTGTATATAGAAAACCCTAAAGACTCCACCAAAAAACTACCAGAACTGAAAAATGAATTTAGTAAAGTTGCAGGATACAAAATTAATGTACAGAAATCTGTTGCATTTTTAGACACCAATAACGAAGCAGCAGAAAAAGAAAACAATCCATTCACAATTACACCAAAATAATACTTATGAATAAATTTAACCTAAGGGAGGAAAGAGCTGTACTCTGAAAACTACAAAACATGGATGAAAGAAATTGATGATACAAAGAAATAGACATTCTGTGTTCATGGGTTGGAAGAACAAATATTGTTAGAATGTCTATACTACCCAAAGCAATCTACACATTTAAAGCAATTCCTATCAAAATACCAAAAGCATTTTTCACAGAACTGAAACAAACAATCCTAAAATTTGTATGGAATTGCAAAGGATCCTAAATAGCCTAAGCAATCTTGAAAAAGAAAAATTGGAGGCATCACAATTCTAGAATTCAAGTTATATTACAAAGCTGTAGTAATCAAAGTAGTAGGAGTTTTTAAATTACCAATTCAGGTTTGTTACTAGGATTCAATATCATGGTCCATTCGGTATTTCTATTTCTTTCTGATTCACTCTTGGAAGATTTTAATTTTCTAGGAATTCATACATTTCTTCTAGATTGTCCAATTTGTTGGCATGTTTGTTATTTTTAAAATAAATATATTTTAAAATCTCCATCTCAACTTTTAATATGGAAAACATTCACAGAATAGAACCCCTGAAACAAAAGCTCTTTTGGGAAACTTAATAAATTTTCAAAGTTTGAAGAGATCCTAATTCCAAGAAGTCAGAGAGCCTTTCCCAACCAACCAGGGGCATTTGGTGAAGAGGTTATGAAAGGATCTCTGTTTTAATCATCTGCTGAAAGAGTTCTGAAAATCTATTGACCTACTCTCGTCATTATTAACTGTGTTAACTGGAGTAAAAGAATGGAGAACTCATATTTTAAACTTTCTGCTGTTTGAAATGTACAGTCATCAGAATAATAGTCTTCCTAAAACTATCTGACTTAGATCTCTGTGGCAGAAGCGGATTCTGAACTGGTAGATAAAACTTTAGGCCATTACGGATTTCTATAAGGATTCTTTTTTGATTGCTCAAGCAGAAACAAAACAAAACTCTAGAATTTCTCCCAGGGCAGAAGCGGAGTGGAGGGTGCACTCTACTCTCCATTTCCCCTCTCCCTATGCTCCAGAGAATCAGACTTTATTCTACATGAATAGAAGCAACAGCCTCAGAATGTACACGGAGTAATCACACCAAAAGGAAGATGTAGCAGGATAAACTCATTGGCTGTTTAATATATACACACACATATATTCTTAAATATAGAATATATCTCATAAGACTGCAATTTAGCATATACATACATATTTTTCTCAGAATATACTCATTTTGTGAAACAAGATGGGATCAGGAGGGAGACAAACTTTAAGAGACTCTTAATCTCACAAAACAAACTGAGGGTTGCTGGGGGGAGGGGATTATGGAGAGCGTGGTTGGGTTATGGACATTGGGGAGGGTATTTGCTATGGTGAGTGCTGTGACGTGTGTAAACCTGACAATTCACAGATCTGTACTCCTGGGGCTAATAATACATTATATGTTAATAAAAAAAAAAGAATATACTCCTTTAACTTGTTGAAATATGGCTTAAAAATAAGAGTTTGCATAAAAACACTGATGTTTGTATGATTCCGTTTATGCTTTTCAAAATTTGTACTTCTACATTGATACACTAAGCCACACTCTTTGCTCAAGGAGTGCCACAGAAGTAATTGGTTTGAAAAGATGCCACTTCATAGCTACTCACAGGCAGTTTTACATCAATCACGTTTTACATCAATCACTTGTACTATAGCTAAAGCACTACCCTTATCCTTCAACTAAGATACTTCTAGAAAGAATACATTGAACAATTACCTCAGTACTTGGAGATCGCAGAATGATTTCAAGTCATCAGACTGTTTTTCCCAAAATTCCTAAAATGGAACAAAAGTCTTAAGTGGTTATCAGTTACTCTACTCTGGAACGGATCCTCTTAAGTCACAGAGAATATTCCAAAAGAAGGGGGGCACTTACCAGAACATCCTTCTCAAGGTGTTTCAGAGTCTGAATATCCTTCTCAAGACTGTTCAGCTCTTGAAGAACAAAACTGTGAAACTGCTCTAGTTTATTCAGTCTGATAAATGTAAAAAGCAACAGATTTCATTGGAACTGCTTGACCGTAACAAGAGACTATCTTCTTTTTACAAGGATACTCCTTATTCTTCTCTAGACTTTTTCTTTTTTTAACTTAAATTCAAGTTGGTTAACATGTACTGTAATATACAGGGGTAGAGTTTAGTGATTCATCAGTCGCATACAACACCCAGTGCTCATCATATCACGTGCTCTCCTGAATGCCCATCACCCAGTTACCCATTCCCCCACCCACCTCCCCTCCAGCAACCCTCAGTGTGTTTCCTATAGTTAAGAGTCTCTTATGGTTTTCCTTCTCCTCTGTTTTTATCTTATTTTTCCTTCCTTTTCCCTATATTCATCTGTTTTTTTTCTTGAATTCCACATGAGTAAAATTATATGGTATTTGTCTTCTCGGACTTATTTTGCTTAGCATAATACCCTCTAGTTCCATCCATGTCACTGAAAATGGCAAGATTTCATCTTTTTGATGGCTGAGTAATAGTACAGTGTGTGCATGTGCGTCTGTTACATTTTCTTGATCCATTCATCAGTTGATGGACATCTGGACTCTTTCTATAGTTTGGCTATTGTGGACATTGCTGCTATAAACATTGCTAAGCATGTGTCCCTTCAAATCACTATGTTTGTATCCTTTGGATAAATACCTAGTAGGGCAATTGCTGGGTCATAGTGTTGTTCTAATTTTAACTTTCTGAGGAACCAGTTTGCATTCCCACCAGCAGTGTAAAAGGGTTCCCCTTTCTCCACATCCTTGCTAACTTTTGTTTTTAAGAACACACATCTCCTGTCCTTCCTTCCCCTCACTGGATGATCATCCTCTTCTACAGAAACTATGAAGACTTGGTTTTATCCCTTCAAAAGAAGTCCAAAAGAAGCTGGTAATTCAATATCATACTAAGAGCAAAGGAGAGAGGACTCCAGGGAAAAGGACACAGAGGCCAGACCTGGCCCAGAAGCCATTATGCCACCAATCATAACTCCCCATCACTTCCAAACTTCCACTTGCCCCCCTCATCTCTTGCCTTAAGCTGGTCCTGAGAGCTGAAATTGGCTAATAAACCCCGTCCTCTACACATTAGTTCTAAAGTTTCTAACCTCTGCTTTTGTGGGTCTAACCACCACATAAACTGCTTATTTGTTTTCTGTCTTCTCCATTAGGCTGAAGGTTCTATGAAGGCAAGAAGCTCTCAATGCTTGTCGTCACGGCTCTCCTGCACTTAGCCCAGGGCCTGGCACCTCGTGCTGCTCAGTGTGCATTTGCTGAATGAGAAATAGATGAATACGTAACTCCTACAACATAACGGAAGTTCTCCACGTCCAAAGTCCTTCATGGGCTTGTTTTGAGAATCAAATGACATTGCATGTATAAAAGTTTTGAAAAAAAGTTATAAATTCCTATTCACATTATATTTTCTGCCCTAAGAAACTTCCTCCTTTATTTAAGCTAACCAACCTGCCATCGTTTTCTTTCCCTCCTTCATCTATAGGCCATTCTCTCCAACAAGAAACAATCTATTGTTTCTTCCTATACTTCCTATACCACCTTCCCTATACCATTCAAACCTTTATTTTCAAAACCTCCCTACAGAAGCACTTCCATTGTAATGGCTCTAGATTATCTCTAATCACCACAGAACCCCATCTCCCCTCACCTTTCCTATCCTTCCCATCTCACAGTCATCAGAGTGTGTTTGCGTATGGGTGCATGTGTGTGTGCAAGTGCATAGAACTTTTTACTGTGGCAATATAACATAAAATTTACCCTTTTAACCATCTTTGAGTGGACAATTCAGTTGGATTCAGTACACTGACAATGTCCCGCAACCATCCATCTCTAGAACTTATCCATGGTCCAAACAGAAACTCCATACTGCTTAAACAATAACTTATTTCCCACTCTCCCAGGCTCTGGTAATCTCTATTCTACTTCCCTTCTCTAGGAATTTACCTCTTCTAACTACCTCATATAAGTGAAATCATTCAGGGGCACCTGGGTGGCTCAGTGGGTTAAAGCCTCTGCCTTCAGCTCGGGTCATGATCCCAGAGTCCTGGGATCGAGCCCCGCATTGGGCTCTCTGCTCGACGGAGAGCCTGTTTCCCTTCCTCTCTCTCTCTGCCTGCTTGTGATCTCTATCAAATGAATAAATAAAAAAATCTTTAAAAAGAAAAGTGAAATCATTCAACACTGGTCCTTTTGTGTCTGGCTTATTTCATTTTGCATAACATCCTTGAGGTTCATCCAGGATGTGGCAAGTGTTAGAATTTCATTCTTTAAGGCTGAATAATATTCCACTGCACATGGAGGACACCTAGCACTTATCCAGCATTTTCCCATGTTTACCCATCCTTGCTCTGTCTTCATAATTGGATTATAATTTTTTTAAAAAGATAGTGTTTTACGATCATACCATGGCAGACCAAGAAGAGGCTTGTGGAAGGCCTTCCCCCATCATCTTATAAAGGAAGAACTAGAAACTAGACAGGTTAGGGGATGTATCAAACCTCGCAGCTGCTCAAGCTTCAGGTCCTCATGACCCCGCACAATGGGCATGATACAAATACTTATGAGCTATCACACTTTTATGACCTTGTTTGGAAACCTAACACTTACCTGCATTGACGTATCTGGTTTAAAAGTCGGATTAAGCAATCTGGAGCTTGCTTGGCATCTTCTGAATAAAGTGGACTCCCTTCGTACCTAAGCTAAACCAGGACAACAACAACAAAATGATCACATTTGAATTAACCGTAACTACATAAATGGAGTTCAGGCTTTGTGTGAAAAAGATGCTACCAGCAGGGGCGCCTGGGAGGCTCTGCCAGTAAAGCATCTGCCTTCCGCTCAGGTCATGGTCCCAGGGTCCTGGGATCAAGACCTGCATCAGTCTCCCCGCTCAGTGCAGAGCCGGCTTCTCCCTCTCCTCCCCGCTTGTGCTCTCTCTCATGATCTCTGTCACAATCTGTTTCTCTCTCTCAAATAAATAAAATCTTAAAAAAAAAAGATGGTACCAGCACCTTACATTCATAACAAACACACTGTTAAACAACAGTGATGAGACACCTTGCTATACACTTTCTATGTATCACCCCCCAGGAAGGTACCAATAAGGAATGATAGGCTAAAATAGGAAAATTTATATTCATGCTATCAAAGCACATGTTGAATATTATTAACAAATTTCCACTATCAACTAACTTACACTGGTATTGCAGAAAATATGATAAGACTTTGGAGATTTTCCAAATTAGTTAAATGAATATATGTCAGGGTAAGATACTTTTCTCAACTGTGCTAATAAGTAACTCTTTGGGGATTTATGAACAATAGGACATAAAAGGAGGGAACTGAAATGCTTCTAAAGTTCAGCTTGCAGACAAGACTTTGGACAGCCTACCTATGCACCGCTCTGCCGAACATCTACCTAAACCCACCTCCAACTTTGTCCTAAACACCTCTCTCAACCACATGGCCCCCTCTCCTCCTTGCCTATCACTGTGACTGAACCATCGCCTCATGGTACTTCCTGTTGTCTGAGAATAGGCTCAATGAAACCAAACCATGAGTCTGATTTCCATATAAGTGCATCCAGTCCCACTGTAGCAAAATGGACATGGAACCGCTGTCTTATAATACAAACCACAGTCCACAAAGGCACTACAGTCAGGGCCCATAGCTAAGGCAAGTATACCTTTCCTAAACCTCAGGAGCACCTCCACATATGCAGGATAACAACAGTACAGATGAATAATATGATCTTGTTACTTTAAGCCCCTAACAAGCCAGTTCTTCATTTTTAGTGGACCATTACCTCTGATTTCCTTTGCAGTTCTCTAGTGAAGTTTTCGAGGGCTAGGAGGACAGCAGAACTCTTCAAATTCTCGGGCACAACCACTAGGGATGGAGTAGGAATGCCTTCTGAACAATAAAAAGAGAACATTAAGTAAAACTAACACAAGGTTCAAAATCGACGTGCTTAGCCCATCAGCTGCAGAAGCTGGAGAGACCGTCGGAAGTCAGACATAAGTGGGGCCTGACTGCGGCTGACAAGGCCAGCTTGGAACCCAGAGCCATGGTGGGCACTTCCAGCTGCTTCCCATCAAACCTCAGTTTCTGCCAGGTGCTCATTTCCTCCAAACTTTCCCAGCACTTTAAACTGGGGCAGATGATATTAGGTCTAAGAAGCAGACTAAAGGAGGGGTTATAAGAGGCTGTGAGGAGGACACAACAGGTGGGACATGACAGGTAGGACATTTCTACGGGGGCAACACTGGTGTAACAGCTTCTGGGTGTGCTGAGGTTGAGGACTTGTAGGTATCCATACTTGCAGGTATTGACTCATGTAAGCCTCGCAAAAACCACTTCAGGTAGGCACTGTTGTTGTGCATATGGAACAGAGGGATCAAATAAAACTTGGGCAAGCTCACGCCCCAACAGGGTCAGGATTGGAACTCAGGCTGACTGGTTCTTAATCACCAACGTCTAGCACCTCTGGGCTTCCAAATTCACCCTCTTGGAGCCTTTTGTTTTGAAACAGAGTGGCATCACTCATGCAGACAGCTAACCCCACACATGTAGACATCTTGGATCAATCTCCTTCACTGGTATAGAGTGGATTTTTTAATTTTTAATTTTTTATTAACATATAATGCATTATTAGCCCCAGGGATACAGGTCTGTGAATCACCAGGTTTACACACTTCACAGCACTCACCATAGCACATACCTTCTCCAATGTCCATAACTCCACCACCCTTTCTCTACGCCCCTCCCCCCAGCAACTCTCAGTTTGTTTTGTGAGATTAAGAATCTCTTATAGTTTGTCTCCCTCTCAATCCCATCTTGTTTTATTTATTCCTTTCCTACTCCCCAAATCCCCCACATTACCTCTCAACTTCCTCATATCAGGGAGATCATATGATAGTTTTCTTTCTCCGATTGACTTATTTCGCTAAGCATAATATCCTCTAGTTCCATCCACATCACCACAAATGGCAAGATTTCATTTCTTTTGATGGCTGCATAGTATTCCATTGTATATATACCACATCTTCTTTATCCATTCATCTGCTGATGGACATCTAGGTTCTTCCCAAAGTTTGGCTATTGTGGACATTGCTGCTATAAACATTCAGGTGCAGGTGCAGAGTGGATATTTCTAATAAAAACTTTGTTAATAACTATCAGCTAAAGCCAAGACCTAGACATTTAAGAACGAGAGGCCTTGAAAATTGCCATAATAAGGAGTGAAGACGCAGAAATCAAAATAGAAAGGACGTGGTGCTTACTTGCTTTTATCTATAATGTGTGCAACAATTTACTTGGTTTTAGAGGATAAAATGCTTAGTTGTTAGGGTTGTGCAGCAACTTTGATCTTCAAACTGTAGCCCCCTGTAGTGCATGCTGGGACATTCAGGGCTTACAGATTTGTCAACCTCTTGCTTGAATGGCTGGCTGGGCGCATAACGTTACCTGCTAAGTCGGTCTCTTCCGTCACTGAGGGGAGGGACTCTGGAGCATCATCTTCTTCCAATTTTGACTGTTTTGACTTAGCAAAACTGCCATCTGCTAGGTCTAAAAGCAAGTGCAGCACGTTAACAACCACGCACACTTTCCTTTTGTCCCAATTTTATCTTGTCTTCTCTTTACCAGTTAATACCTAACTTTGCTGAGCAGCAAGCAAAACTCGTTCCCTGTTACTAATTACTTATCAGCTGATACACTAAGAACAGCACAAGCATTAAAGCACTAAGTCTCCTGATGCCTGAAAGAGGCCACACAGGAACAGGCATCTCTTTGCTGAGCTCGGGAACATCTAGGAACGATCTGCCTTGCAGAGTACGGACTGACTCAAACAAAGCAGGAGTGGATGTAGCATCACTAACACTGCCAGGGCTCAGGCTAAATGGCAAGGGAGAATGGTATCTGAGCGGGTGAGCCTTTGGAAACTCTTCACATCTCCCTACAAAGTGTGTTCCCTGCTGGAGACACTGGAGCTTTAGCACTGTACTGAGGGCGGTCTCATGGATGAGGTCACCTTAGCTCCTTACTAGCTACCATGACTTGGAGACCTTCAGCTTAGCAGATTTAAATAAATATCCTCTTTCGATTTGGCATTTACTCAACATTTTCTACTGATGTTCACTTTTACCCCAAACATATCCTTCTTCCTTCTGAGCCCTCCCAATCTTACCAATGGCACTACCGTCAATAGAGCTCTAGAATTGGGCCCAACTCTTGCTTTTCCTTATCATCTACCTCTCTTCCCATCATCAAGATCAAGGTCCTGCATACAGAATGAATCCATCCTTCTTTCTGCATTCCCAAACCATGACCCTATCCAAGGCCATCCTCCCCGGAGGATCTCATCAGTCCCCGTGACTTCAACTTCGTTACAGTCCCAATTTCTCTCTTCCCTGAGCTCCATGAAGCAGCAAGTTTGCATTTCCAACTGCTTGGTCAACAACTCCATCTCAAAACCCACTCTATTCTATCCCAACCACTCTTTCTTCCCCACCAGACACTTAGCCCCTACATACATGCTTAGCTGTGACATCATCTGGCTTTGCCCCTTCTCCTCACATATCCTGCTAGTCATTACTGATTTTTCCCCTTCAGAGGGGAAAATTCATTATTCAGCAGATATGTGAATGCTACTATGTACAAATATTTGAATGAGCCATACCATAGAGTGGAATGGTGGAGAAGCAAAGAGGTAAGTTTCTCTTTCTGGACTCTGCTTCTCTATGTATCTCCCTGGGGTGCCTCAGACACCTCAGGCATGTTTTCATCTCAAGACCTTTGCTCTTGTTGACTTGAATCCTTTCCCTCATAGATGGGCATTAAGTTTTTCTCTGGCCAACCAACATAAAATTTCACTACCTCTGCCGCAACTTTTAAATCTCTTCCCATGCTTGATTTTTTTTTTCCCCTAGCCTTTATCACAATATAATACACTGCATGTTTTACTTCTCTTGTATATTATTTGCCCCCCAACACACTGGAAGATAAACCCCAGCAAAGCCTGCATTTTCTCTGTTTTGTTCATCAGAATATCTAACCCTTAGAAAAGTGCCTGGCCCACAGCAGACTCTCAATAGATGTTCATTGAATGAATAAATGAATGCTACAAAATATCCAAGTTCCTATGGAAAAAAAAAATATGAGATACAAGATGAAACCAGAGAAGGAGACAAACCATAAGAGACTCTTACTCTCTGGAAACAAAATGAGGGTTGCTAGGGCTGGTAGGGATGGGGTGCCTAGGTGATGGACTTTGGGGAGGGTAGGTGCTATGGTGAGTGTTGTGAATTGTGTAAGACTGATGATTCACAGACCTATGCCCCTGAAGCCAATAATACATTATATGTTAATAGAAAACAAATATGAGACACGTTAGGGGTTCCTAAAATGACAACATAGGAAGACCTTGAACTCACCTCCTTCACAGACACGCACACATTTATAGAGCAATTGAAGAATGGAAGGTTGACTAAGCAGCTTCTGCACAACAGAAGATAGACTGCATGGAGAACAAGAGAGAGGAGTGCATGGTAATGAAGGAGCGCCCATGCCCCTCCACAGTGAACTGCACTGGGGTGGGTTAGTTCTAAGGGGTGGGGTGCAGATTTGTCTGGCCTGGGGCATAAAAAAAACCCCTGTGATTTAAAAGGACAACTAGAATTTAAAAAGATCTAGCCCTAGGATCCTGTCCAACAGTGGGGGACTGCTGGAACTCACTCTGGATCAGAGGGGCTGGTGAGTGCCTGGTTTATGTTCACCCTCTGCCTTGGTAGAGCAGAGAGAAGCCAGGTTGGGCTGCCATAACTGACCCACCTCCATGCTAGCCCCAGCCATCTCATCAATATGGCGCCAGGGCAGCACACACACCAGGACATCCCTGCTCAGCAGTCATGATGGCTCCGGCCATCTCATCAAGACATAAAACATCCAAGAACATGTCAGGCCTGAACCACTTCATCTCCAGACAACTTGCCAGGACATCCCCGTCCACCCCTTTCCCCTGCACAGAGTGCCCTGAAACCTCTGGGTCCATGCCTGCTTTGGCTCCAGAGTACCCCCTGCATGGAGCATCCCAGGACACCCCAGCTTTCACTGACTTCTGTTTCAACCATCCTACCAGGGTGCCTTCTACTTAGGAAGGGATGTAGAGAAAAAAGAACCCTCTTACACAGTTGGTGGGAATGCAAACTGGTGTCGCCATTGTGGACCATAGTATGGAGGTTCCTCAAAGATAAAAATAGAACTACCCAATGATTCAGTCATAGTATTACTGGGTATTTGCACACAAAAAAAAAATACAAAAATACAATTCAAAGGGATACATGTACCCCATCTGTATAGTGGCATTATTTACAATAGTCAAATTACAGAAGCAACCCAAGAGCCCATTGACAAATGCACGGATAAGGAGGTGGTGTGTATAGACTCAATGGAATGTTACTCAGCCATAAAAAAGAACAAAATCTTGTCATTTTCAACAACATGGATAGAACTAGAGAATATAATGCTAAGGAAAATAAGTCAGAGAAAAATACCATATGATTTCACTCAAAGGTAGAATCTAAGAAACGAATGAACAAAGAGGTAAACGAGAGAGACAAACCAAGAAAAAGACTCTTAACTATAGAGAACATATTCATGTTCACTAGAAGGGAGATAGGTGAAGTAGATCAAGGGGATTAAGCATATACTTACCTTGTTGAGCACAGAGAAATGTATAGAACTATTGCATCACTGTATCGTACATCTGAACCTAATACAGCACTACATGTTAACTATACTGAATTAAAATAAAAGTAGTAATGGAAAAAAAATTTACATGTAGAAGGGAATCTCCATAAGGTTTACCTCTGTTTATATTGGGCACATACCATCAAATTATTACACCTGTAATTTTTTATATTATCTATCAGCAGATTTCTCATCAGAAATTTTGCAGGCTGAAAAAAATGGAATGATATATATGAAGTGCTGAAAGAAAAAAAATTGCCAACCATGTATATTTGATGTAGAAAAGTTGTCCTACAGAAATGGAGAAATAAAGACTTCCCCAGGCAAGTAAAAGCTAAGGGACTTTATCATCACAAGATCTGCCTTATAAGAAATGCTCAAAGTACTTCATCAAGTCAAAATGAAAGGGTGATAATTAGTAACATGAGAACATAGGAAAATATGTCACATTTATGAGTACATAGTTAATAAGAATACTATACCATGGTGGCATGTTAATCACTTTAATCTAGTATAAATGATGAAAATATTGAAAATAATTATACCTGTAATAATTTGGTAATGTATGCCTAATAAAAACAGAGGCAAACTGTAACAAAACATAAAATTTGGGGCAAGCAAAGGGTAAAGTTTTATATGCAATGAAACAGACTATTAGGTATCTAAGACATTATATGTAAACTTCATGGTAATCACAAAGCAAAACCCACACAAAAGTAAATACACAAAAGATAAAGGGAATAAAAAAATACTACTATGAAAAATCACTAATTCACAAAAGAGTGGAAGAGATTAACAAAGGAACTACAGAACAGCCAGAACACAATAAGATGACATTAGTAATTCCTTACCTATTAGTGGACTGACCAATTTAAAAAAAGGGTAGAGACCCGAATAGACGTTTTTTCAAAGAAGACATACAGATGGCCAACAATCACATGAAAAGATGCTCAACATCCCTTACCAGGGAAAAGAAAAAACCAACATGAGATATTATCTCACACGTTAGGCTGTCTAAAATTAAGATAAGAAAGAAATGTTGGGCAGGATGCGGAGAAAAAGGAACCCTCATGTACTGTTGGTGAGAATGTAAATTGGTATAGCCACTGTGGAGAACGGTATGAAAGCTCCTTAAAAAACTAAAAATAGAAATACCATATAGGGGCACCTGCATCATGATCTCAAACCTGAGATCTCAATCTCAATCCTGAGAATGAGCCCCACACTGGACTCCCCACTCGGGACCGTTGTCTGCTTCCCTCCCTTCCTCCCTCCCCCTGCTCATGGTCTCTCTCAAGTAAATAAAATCTTTTTTCTCTTAAAAAGAGAAATACCATATGATCCAATAATTCCACTATTGGGAGATATTTACCAAAGGAAAATAGACACACTAACTCAAAAAGATCTATGTACCCCTATGTTTATTGCAGCATTATTTACAATGGCCAAGACGTGGAAGCAACCTCAGTGTCCATCGATAGACGAATGGATAAGGAAGGTGTGATTTGCATGCGCGCGCGCGCACACACACACACACACACACACACACACACACCCTGGAATATTATGCAACCATAAAAAGGATGAGATCATGCCATTTGAGATGACATGGATAGACCTACCGGGTATTTTTTTTAATTTTTGAAATACTCGTTTTCAATTAACATATAATGTATTATGTCTCTCACGGATACAGGTCTGTGATTCATCAGTCTTATACAATTTATAGCACTCACCATAGCACATACTCTCCCCAATGTCCATCACCCAGCCACACCATCCCTTCCACCCCCTCCCACCTCCAGCAACCCTCAGTTTGT